TGTGAGCACCAGTGCTACCAAGTAAAAAAGTTAATTTCGAGCCCTGTATATATATATATATATATATAAATTAAAAACTTCTAGAATAGTACCAGTTCAAAACAATCCTGCTCTGATTTGCCCCCAGTTTTCTTACATGTCTTTTCATTGCTCAGATTTCTATAGTGTCTGTTTTATGGGCCAGAAAATCATCTTTAGATCATGAGACAATAACCACTGCCTGTAGTATGTTCACCATGGTCCCTTTCTATCCCTCCAACAAGGCCATTGTTCTCTACGCTGTCAAAGAGAGAGAGAGAGAGAGAGAGAGAGAGAGAGAGGAGGTGTGTGTAGTTAAGCATTTTGGGCATAATCATATATATATATATATATATATATATATATATATAAAATATACAAATACATTCGGTATACTCATGTAAAGCTATATGTTTTATATGTAGTATGTTTGTTAAACATTTATTAAATATAACATATAATTACATTAACTGACTAAAACTATCAGGCAGTTGAGATTTACTATATAGTATATATCACTTTATGTGAGTGGACAGTATGCATGCAGATATAACTTATATCCTTTATTTTTATAACTATATCCTATATTTAACTTTATATACAGGGCAGTGTGATGCTGCGATAATTTTGCTACACTATAAATTAACATTTATTCAGTTAGCAGTTGCTTTTATCTAAAGCTTTAGAAATGAGTAATACAACAAACAATGAATCTTAGGGAGGCAATAACATGAGAAATGGCAGCCAAGTTTTAAACATTGTCTAGAACAGTACAAGCAACAACAGGGAGGGTTCTAATAAATAGTGTAAGCATTGAAGGTTTTTAAATATTTAAAAACTTGCAACTTAGGTTGTACTCTAAGATGAGCGAATGCTGAAGTTGCCAGAAGGACTTGGAAGGGTCCAGTGTCTTTAACATTAACTACAAAGGCACCATTCAATCTCAGAACATCCATCAATTTTATAGCTTTTCTTCTGGGTTTAGATTTCACAAGCTAGTGGCTTCCTTTAAGAATCATATTGCTTTTAGCTAGAAGACAGAGTCCACAGTTCCCTACACTACACACAGGTTGCATTAAATATTCCCAGAATATTCCTAGATGACCCATGTTATAAGAATGAGCACGTGGTGTTCCATTCCCCTACTTTAGGTTCCAAACACAGGCTTATATGGAAAAAATGTTGATGTTCTAATGATAAACTTTGTAAACGATTAATGATTAACGTGCTAATTGTGAAAGGAAATACCAATGTGACAACCTCGTGTGTGTTTCTACAGTAGAGCAAATACCTGCAATTCTTGGTCAGGATAAGTAGGCATTAATGAGTGAGTGAGTGAGTGAGTGTGTGTGTGTGTGTGTGTGTGGTAATTCTCTTACTGTTGCTGGATTTGAGGTCTCGGTGAATAATGGGAACAACAGCCTCCTCGTGGAGATACTGCATGCCTCTGGCGATCTGGACGGCCCAGTTCACTAGGATATGAGGGGGGATCCTTCTGCCCGTCAAAGCGCGGTTGAGAGTCCCTCCTCGGGCATATTCCATGACCAGACACAGGTTAGGCTCCTCCAAACACACCCCCTCTAGTTTAATAATATTAGGATGTTGAAGCATCGAGAAAAGTTTAGCTTCTTGTTTAACACTGTCTGCAGTCGCTTTAATGTCTTCGTCGGGGTCCTGTCGAGCTGCCTTCACTGCGACCTCCTGGTCCTTCCAGGTCCCCCGGTAGACTTTGCCAAAACCACCAACGCCGATGATTTCTTGTAGAACAAGTTCAGAAAACGGTATCCGGACAGGGGCGGACGGGTCACTCTCGCGATCCCCTACCGCTCTGTAAATGACTGGTTGGTAAGTAACATAATTAGATGGGAAGATGCCCACGCGATGGTTAATTTTACCAGTCCACCAGCCTTCGTCTCCCGAGATGGCAGCGTCCTTAGACAGGACCTCCACCACGTCTCCTCGCCGCAGGCTGAGCTCGTCCTCCCCGCTGGCCTCGTAGTCAAACACCGCGGTCCAGAGCGAGCGGGGACACACGGGGACAGAGTGAGCCCAAACCTCCGAGTTGGAGGACTCCATCCAGACATGGTCTTGGAGGCTCATGCGCCCCTCACCGTTTGGGAAAACGGCCTGGGGAACATCCATGTCTCGGTGCCTGCAGGAGCACCATAGGGTGCCGTGATGTCAAATCTAAGTAAACTAGTCCAGTAGTCGTATTCCTCGATGACACGTACACACAAAAAAGTTCCTAAGAACCCCAGCCAGGTGACTTTATATCATTAATGGGGAGTCGGTCAGGTTAAATCCGGCTTAATAGAGGTTAAGAGACGCATTGCTTTGTTAACACACGCAAGCCAGATAACCAGTCTTGGAGTGCGAAGTGTCTCTGAAGCTGGGACATCAGCATTAGCTGGAATATTTGCGACGCTAACTCTTTAGTTTACTTTTGAGAGTAACGTTAAAAGCTACATTATCAGCCTGTCGATTTCAGCGCAACCAGAAGTACAAACTAATTTAATGTTTGTAAAAATTAAGGTAAACAACATACCCAACCGGGAAAGTCAAGAGAGTTTTCAAGCCGTGAGGCTACAGGTGCAAAGTACCTGCTCATCCCAAGCGAATGAATCAAGCTAAATACACACACGATTTATTTCACTCCCTAAGATAAGTTACTAATTACCTTGCTTGTCTACATGTACAAATCCTCCACATAAACACTCTTTGGCAAACTTAATTGAAACACTTTACACTAGCGGGCTAAAGAGCCGTGCTAACGCGTTAGCTCTCTCTCCGAAGTTCACAAACTAGTAACTGCGGCTCCCAAAATTCTGCCGTCGCCAAGGACACGTCACGGGCGCGCACGCACAGCAGTAAACGCTTCGCAGTCAGTCCAGCGCGCACTTTAGTCATTCACCAGCACTCCAAAAATTGACGGCTTTTCCCCTCTCGCTTAGATTCAAAGACTTTTTCAGAGAAGCTAAACTTTGCCTTGGTGAACTCTATGAGAAAACCGCCATCGCTTCTCCGCTCCTCCGACTCGACTGACCCTAGAGGAGAGAAGGAAAAGGTGGAAATGGATTGGTTGCAGCAGTTCACGTGACACCAGGGTCGGCGCCAGAGCGCACAAAGTGAGGGGGCAGGCACAATTTTTTGGGGGGCCGCACTTTTTTTTTTGCTTTGAAAAAAAAAAATGTTTCTGAAAGTAATTTTCAGATGCAACGGGGGAAAAAACGGGATAAAAACTGGGAACTTTTCTTTTTTTAATCTGCCGTGTTATGCTAGTGCTTCAGATTTATAGGCTAATGGGTAAATCAGCCTGCTTTACCCCACACTTTATAACATACAGTTTATAATAGGTTAATATAAAGATATGCGCCTGATTGGCCTTGTTAAACAATTCTGTATTGTTTATAGGCCTACACCTGTAATGTTACACTTAAATAAATATAAACAAACATATATAAAATTCCCGAAAGCACATTGCAAATGCCTAATCTCATTATGATGAATATATTCCGTGTAATTTTTGTTACCTATACCAAAATGTAAAAATGTAGTAGGCCTATTATCAATAACTAATAATGCTTATTTTAGATGTGTCAGAAATATTTTTGAGAAACTGATATTTTATACATTTATATTTATATAATTTTCCCATTATATTTTTCTGCTACTAATGAAGGTTGTTTATTTTAAGTCTGGCCTTTATAATATCATGTATATCTGTATTAATTTATTTACACTTTCTGGCATCTATCTAGAGCACATCATTATAAAAGTATCATCACAATGGATCATCTTATTCACATTCCCTTGCATAATTGTGTATAGCATATCTGTACATATTGTCTAATGACTATTTTGACAGTTGTGTATTTGTATATATATTTATTTCTTATTCACTTAATTTCTATTCACTTTTATTTTTATTCACTTAATTATGACAAAGCTATTGTTACTGTGTGCGATGTAGCTGAAGCTAAACTATTAGCCTTATTCGGTAAAATAGGCTTTGTAGTTCACGCGCGTTCCAGTATCGACAGAAAAAGATCATAATGAGCAAAAATATGCCACAGTGGACCGGGTCTCACGCCGAACAGCACGGTGAACGGTTGCGCTGTTTCCAATGAATGCAGTAGCTTAGTGTGCGCGTGAGGCGCCGGCGCGATCAAAAAGCTGAAACATAAAATAGACTACTCCGTAATTTTTGGTC